TTTTAAGTAAAGTAGGTCAAAAACAATTTCGTCTTCAAATTTTAATTTCGTACCCCAAAACCTAAAATAATTTCGTCGGCATGTATAGTTAAGAAAGGGGTGCTACCAAGGAAAATTCTGTCATAATACTTTTAAATTTATAAGTTACTAGACTTAATTCCTAAAACTCAGATCGATAAGCAATGAACTTGAAACTTCAATGACAGGCTTTTCTTGGCAATGTATAATTTTAAGTAAAAAAAAAAAAAAAAAATTTAAAAAGCAATATACAGATCCGCTAATTTGTAAAAGCCCAGCTTTAACTCAAATTAGTTTTGGATAGAAATCAGGTTTGACTCAATCTGACTATTGAAACACTACTAATAACTTATCAGTAAAGATTGTAAATAGAGCATAATACTCAGAGCCACTCCAACCTGGAATAGAAACTGGAGTAAATTTAATTTAATGAAGTGAATTAACAATAGTAACAATTCTACTTATCAAGAATAACAAATTTTGTGATTTACTAACTTACTGTGATTTAAGTCGAGAAAGCCATCATTTTTATTATATTATATACTAGCTAAGCAATTCTTTAATTTGCCAAGATCATGATAAAACAAATTGATGTCTCTGCGTTTGGTTCTCCATCCTCTGTCATTATAGCTGTTTTCATAAATTCTCAGGCATTTAGTAAAACATTGACTGAAGATTGTTAGGTGGTTTTAATTTTGCAGTAATAAACTTGTTTTATTTGGGGCATAATTCATATATAAAACAATATATATAATATATATATATATATATGCAAAAAGACAATAAAGACCTGTTTCTATAGCGACTCTACATATAGCAGCCAATCATATTTAGGGTTCAAAATTTTTCTTTTGTATTTTTTAACGCTCTAATTAACGCTCTTTAACGCTTTTAAAAAAGCTCGTGAAATACAACTTTACCGAATTTTGAATTTTTGACCCTGTTTGATTGTTGATGTAATGTTATTTATAGTGAAAAAATGGTTAAAAAAGGTTAACTCTTGTATCACGAAATTGATCATGTTTTATATAGACTACTATTTTATGCTCAACTTATAAAGCTCAAGTAGAGCTCAGGTAGAGCTCAGTGAAGAGAAAAAATAGTTAACTGAACTTGGTAAATTTTATATATTTGGTGCTAATTTGTTAACAAAAATTACAAAAATTATTAGTTTAATATAGATTGAGACAAGATTTTGTTATTTTTTAATTTTTTAATTTTTTACTTTCAGATTTTTTACCATCTAGATGAATTGATAATTGCTAAAATTAAAGAACTGCATACAGTCAGACCTCTATAAGTGCACACCCTTGGGACTATACATGCTACCGAAATAGGTTTTCAAAAAACCCCTATTTCGTCTCCATTAGAGCAATTTGAAATTTTTTATATGCAATAGCAAATCTAATTTAGGTAGTTATATTCCTTATAATTTCGTCTCTTCAAAAAAAGTGTTAAAAAATTTCATCTTTTAAGTAAAGTAGGTCAAAAACAATTTCGTCTTCAAATTTTAATTTCATACCCCAAAACCTAAAATAATTTCGTCGGCATGTATACTTGGAACCACACTTTAATGATATGCATTTAGAGAATAATAAGAAAAAATACATTTATAGAGATCAAGTATATATTTGGGTCAGAATCTAAATATGCATTTAGAAAGTGTATGTACTTATAGAGGGTGCATTTAGAGAGGGCTAATTGTATTTTGTATTTTACTAAGCCAATTATTTACCACTGAATTTAATCTGTTAATGAGATTGATTTTCTAGTATTTTAACACTGAATTTTGATTTTATATTTATTATTATTATTATATTTATTATATTTATTGATTTGCATATTTCAAAACATTCAAAATTACATGCTTTTTATGTGATGCGTAAAGTAAAAATTCTTGATCAATTTATAGCATTACTTTTGTGCAGATAAATAATTTTTGTTTCATTTTAATGAAGATTTAACAACATATAGACATTGTAACTTATGAATAAATCGTATGTTTTAGAAATTTTATGGTTGATCATATATATTTCTTATTGTGTTTAAAAATTTCTGCACTTAATGATCTATTCAAACTGATGCTTAATGTATTTACACTCTTCTAAGTGCATGCTTTAGGAGCCAGAGATAAATTTGAACTTAGAAAAGGTTTGCATTTATAGAATTATCACTTTTTAAAAACCAAATATAAGCTTGCACTTAGAGAAAATAGGAACTTTATAAAATTATTTTTATTGGTTAGAAATCATAATACATACAATTATAGAAATTATATATCGATATATATTTAAATTTCAAAATTTTATGCATATAGTAAAATCTAAGTATATACTCCTCATGACTATAGGTAGTAAAAGATAAGCAAAACATGCTCTTATAAGTTGTAGCCAGGCTATACCGTGCATTAAAAGAGAATTTACATTGAGCATGCACTTATAAAACATGTGCTTAGAGATGTCTTACTGTAAGAATAACCAATTTACTATTCTTTATAGAGATACGTAATCATTTCTACTACATTTACTTACCACCAAAGAACTAAATTTAGGATAACATAATGTTATAATTAAACCTAACTAAATAAGTAAAAAAAAAATACTTTCTAATTATATCTATCATATTCACCTCAACTTCATCATGGAATCTTATTTCAATAAGAACTTTAATTAAATACTATGTTATAAGATTAAATTTCATCGAAGATTTCACCCTATCGTAATATTGCAGTATTGATATTCATATCTATATCATACCCTAAATTTACTACAGGATTTGTGCAATGGTTTACCTTGTTACAGCTATATTTATCATTACAATAATTTCTGGGAAAAATTAGCAATGTTTTTCGGCCAAGTTTGTGATTTTAGCATTATTGGCATAACCCGGATAATTCTCAGGAAAAGTTCGTCTGATTGGCTCAACAGGTAGGATCGTCCCGAGTTTGCAGATCGTTACACGAGAGATTCAATTGATATAAATTTATTTTTTTCGGAAGCTCGGGTAGATTATCTCATCCTTAAAACAGACCAAGTGCTCTAAGTAAACTTGAAGGTTTCGTGCTGTACTTTAACAATATCGGCTGATTCCCTTTGAATCCCACAACCTTCATATTACATTTCACCTGCCGAAGTTATAAGTAATTAACAATCACTACGTCGGGAAAATCTCATTCGTTGAGCAAAAAAACGTAAAAAAAAACATACCGATTTGTAGAAGGGAGAAATTAGTTTGTATTTTTTTATTATACGTATCGCATAGAAATCTTTTAGAAAAAAATTGAATAGTATTAATTAACTATACAATTTATTAATATTATCATTATGGAAGCTTTAGAATATGATGAAAGTTTATATGCATGATATATATTAAAATCGCGGTTTTCTTATTTAGAATAATGGTTGTGTAATGTAAGATAGTATAGTGTAAGACTTCAGAAATCTGAGATTTTGCAAATAAATAAAAATGAATACTATATATTGAAAAATCAATAATATTCAAATATTATGAGAAATTCAAATACTGGTTGCATCGTAAACACCTTTATTTTACCGTTTAACGATTATTACATATACAATTGGTTTCAAGAAACAAATTTTGTAATGAATTATAATGTTTTTTTAAAGTTTCATATTTTTCTTCTAATTTGCTTAATCTTTCCTCAAGTGTCAGTATGTTTGATATTAGAGAGTCGTCTGTGTTATATTCCTTAAATGCATCACGAATTTTAACCAGACGATCACAGGTAATGACACAAACGGGGCACGACATCGGAAACGTGTGTGGTACCACTGGAGACACTGATGAAGACAATGAAGAGGGTGGAAACATTGTAGTTGCAAGGTTAACAACCTCTTGTGAAGGTAAAATTAAAGATGATGCGTCTGAGGGGGCAGCAGCGAAAGAAGGCACAGAGGAAGCAGCAGCGGACGAAGGCTCGGAGAAGACAATAGCGGATGAAAGTGCAGAGGAAGCGGCAGCGGACGAAAACGCAGAGGAGTTAGCGGGCGAAGGCACAAAGGAGACAGCGGATGTAGGTACAGAGGTGGCAGCAGCGGAAAAAGCCTTAGCTAGGAATAGCAGATGATTTAAAACAGAATGTTTGATATTATGATTAATAATGCGATTATGATAACTGACATACGTACATATTATTATTAATTATCCCTATGACAAATGATCACGCTTTACTTGCTAATTAGTTAAGTTTTTGTTTAAATACTTTACTAAACTTACCCATCTCGCTTGTAATTACCGATTTCTAGGGTAATAGTATACTATATATTATTATATACCCTAGAAATCAGGTAAACGATTT